GGGCTTCGATCTCCTGAGTTCGCGCCTGAGTCATTACTGCAAACACTTTGGCCGCCACAGGCAACGGAGCGCGCTCAGGTCCAGGGATACCCAGAGTTTCGACACCCTGAGAATCACTCCCTTGAATTCCAACGTTCAATAACACCTTCGGTCTTACCAACTTCTTGTGAATCTTGGACACCAACTGCAGATGTGTTCGTTCGTCAACATCCTCCACCTTCCAGGATTCACCAAGCGCGAGGGTCTTAGACGTCAGGTAGGTTAAACCATGCACCAGCCGCACAGACTTGAACTTCGTCTTCAGCACTTCATACTCAGCCAGCTTCCTCTGGAGATTTGGCTGATTGCAGTTGATGAGACTCTGGGCTTGCTGGATGGCAATCCTGGAGTCCCCAACCACAACGATGTCCTGAATTCCACGCTCAATCGCCAGAGTGAGGCCCTTCAGAAGTCCATGATACTCAGCGTCATTCACAGTCACGTCCTCCAGGATTAATCCCTGGGCATCCAGGATTTCCCACCCAGGGACATGCCACAGAATGAAGCCACAGCTCCCTTGTCGCGTGGAAGTCTTAGCGGCGCCATCGAAACTCAGAATACACCCCTCATAGTCCGCTTCCAGCATTTCCATACTGATAGGCACTGGAGGTTTAACGCGCCCCTTGGCTGGGATCAGGTTTTCAGCGATCTCATCCAAGTGTTCTCTGGGGGTAATACCCGCACCTAGAATTGCAGCCAAGCCGTCTTCATCCCGTTGAACTCTGCGTATCTCCAGGTTCCAGTGGGACAACTTCAGACCCCACTTCACCGTTCGACCGTCTGCCGACTGCGAGGTCAGCAACCACTTCAACACAGAATATCGCGTGTAGACGACGATCTTAGGGCTGCCTTCAACCAAAGTGCGAAACACCTCCAGGACCCTTAGGATAGCAATCACCTCCTTTTCCGCAATGTGATACCGCAGCTCAGCGTCATTCAGGACGCGACCTGTGAATCGAACCGGGTGCACAATCCCGTCGTACTCCTGACCCAACACAGCGGATGCTGCCCACGGGTTCGCGTGGGGAATAATCACGAGGGGCCTTGAGCGATCAGGATGTCTGAGTAACGGAGTCGAAACAATCTTGTGCTTCAGGATTTCAAAGGCTTCCTGGGCTCTCGACAGGTCTCTCCTGGATTTCACTTGTTCCTCAGTCAGCTCGTACAGGACGGCCGCGATCACGGGTAGATCTTCAATGAACTTGTTGTAGTAATTCAGACTCCCCATGAAACTCTGGACGCCTTTCAGTGCCGTCGGGAACGGCAAGTCTTGGACCCCCTTCACGATTTTAGGGGTCGCTCGGATGCCCTCAGCACTAATCTCGTGAGAGAGGTACGGAATGGACAACTTCCCGAATTCGCTCTTGGGAAGACTCACAGAGAGATTCCAGTAACGTAGTCGGAAGAGCAGCGCGTTCAGATCCTGGCACAGCTGCTCCCAAGTAGGCGCACCGTGGGCGATGTCGTCGATATACGAGCTTCGACCCAGGACAGGGCCCATCTGAGAGGGAGCCGAGATGTTACGCTGAAAAACAGTCATCTCATCCGTCAACACTGAAAGTCGCGGTGCATTTTCACATGAAGCTCTGGGTTCCCCAGAGTTCAACCCCAAAAAGTCCAAGACATCTTGGTCGACCTCAGCTTCTTCCTCAGGGGAAAGCCGCAGAAATCCCCACAGACAGTTATTGAGAACTGCCTGGTAGATCAGCGGCGCGTTCTTGAGGCCAAACGCCACTGGTAGTGTCCATAGGAGCAGACGAACGCAGAGATCAACTTGGCTCTCTCGGCCATCTTGATAGCCCAGAAACCACTCGCCATGTCCAAGCTCATAAACCACATCGCCGACTCAAAGCCAATCAAAAGATCATCAATAAGCGGCAGCGGATAGTGTGATAGCTTGATGAAGCCATTCACCACGCGATAGTCGATGCACGTCCGGATGTCGACGCCATTCTTCTTGAGGACGATCACGATTGGAGATGCCCAGGGGGACGTAGAAGTCTCGATCAGCCCGTTCTCCAGAAGCTTCTTCAGAAGTTCATACACCTTAGTCCACAGGTGTGGTGCAATGGACCTTGGACGCTGGGCAACAGGTTTAGCGTCGCCTACATCCAGGTCACAAACCACTCCACGGGCAGGTGGGGGAGCTGCATTGCCGTCTCCCAAGAAGATCTTCCGATGATATTCCCGAATTCGCCTCACTTGGTCTTCCATCTCGGGCGTCGTTTTCCCAGAGACTCCAACATCTGCCTCTTCGATCTTGCACTCAGGGGTCAAGTCACGCATCTCAGGAAGCATAACCAACTGGTCACGCAATTGAGAGAGCAACTCACTTCCTTCACGTATGTAGACCGCAGGCTCGTAGTCGAGGTCCTCTGTCGAAAGCCGCATGCAGCGCTCATATTCCTGCTTCAGCTTCTCCAACGAAGTTCCCGGCATGCCTGAGATCGGGATCTCCCAGTAATCTTCAACAGCACCCTGAGAATCGTCGTCATCCACATCGAATCCCAGAGAATCACCTTCGTCGCACCACTGACCCTGAGAATCACTGCCAACTTCAACCTGTAAACTCAGGGTTTCAGCGGCCGTATCACCTTCAGGACTCATGCCCTCTGGGGTTCCGACAGTCTGTGAGGCAACATCGGTCACCGCCTCCTTCAGAACCTCACCCAAGTCACTCGTATCAACAGCAACGTCTCGGAGTTCAGGAGGGTCTTCAGGAGGCACTCCTTCAGTCTGAGTTGCAGCGTCTTCGGCGAAGCGCACGCGACGAGGCTTCGGTTTCCTGAGAGTTGAGGTAAGCAGTGCCATGTCGGGGCCCTTTGCAGGTCGCGGCAGAATCTTCGTAGGCCACTGATACTCTGGGGTCTCGACACAGGATGGCTCAAGCGCAGCCAGGCGTTCCGCCCGAAGTCTGCCCTCACGCGACTGAACACTCTCCAGAATAAGCGTCTGCCACTCCCGATACGCAAACGAACCAGGGCGCACAAAGCGTCCGGCACGTGGGAAGAAGCCGTACTCCACAATTCGGGCGACTGGCGTTCTGTTGTGAATCCAGACGTCCTTGTCCGAGATGTTGACCACCTTCACGGCGACCGGCCAGGATCTCGCAGCGTAAATCAGGTGCATTACCCAGCGGTCACCTCGTCCTGCCCACACAACCTCACGCTGTGGGTTCGTCGGTCCATACGAGATCTTCACCACCTTGGATTCCCCAGGGGCCAGGTACCAACTACCTGTGGTTTCCACGGGCATGTCGACACCCTGGCGATCCTCTGGAGTCCATCCACACATCATGATCGCCTCTTCATCCGGAAGTGTCACGAGACCTTCGCGAACACTGATCCTCACTCCAGCTGCAAACATGAAACTCATACCCAGAAGAACTTCGATCCCTTCGCCGATGTTAGCAATCCAGACATCCAGGAGATATATCACCCTCGAACCGAGAGTAATCTTCACCTGAGCACTGGCACCGATATACGTCGGAACGCTTCCCATGCCAGACACCTTGGTTTGCTTGTGCGACTTGAGTGTGAGTCCGAGCTTACGCGCTAAGTCGAAGCTCACAATATTCACAGTCGCACCTGTATCCAGGAGAACTCTCGTCCGGCAGTCGTTCACAGCACCATGCACCATCGCCACATCACGTTTCTTTGGGTCAGGATCATTGTTTTCCCACCATCCGTAGCGCTCTCCAGGGTTCAGCTTGTACTCCACAATTTCTTCAGAGTTCACCGCAGAGTTCGCTTGTTCAGGATGCTGATTTTCAGGGGAAGTCATGAAATCCTGAGTCAAAGTAGTCATGCATTGTTGGTTATCTTGGGTTCTTGTTCTCAGCTCCGGGCCTACATACACTAGAACACATAACTCTGGGGCCTTCTTCAGCCCGGCGCGTACTGGGTCCCCACTCAGCGGGCTTATTGGTTTGACGGCCTCCCAGAGTTTGCTTCGCCATCCAGGAGTTTATCCAGGATTTGGCTCGGCATGTCCTTCAGTGCACCTTGGCGGGCGAGTTTCTTCACAGCTTCCAGTGTCTTCCAGTCTTCACACGGTTTCCCGAGATGCAGTTTGCCACAGTTCTCGCACGGTTGCGCGCGACACAAGTGAGTCGGATGACCCACTTCCAGGCAGCGATCACACTTCACGTCTTTCCAGCAGTTTTCCTCTGGGTGCCCCCACTTGCCGCACTTCTCGCAGAACTTGTCCCAATTCGGGTTTTCGTGGCGAGGGGAACGGAATCCAGAGTTCGCGTTCGGTCCTGGTTGGGCGTTCGGTGGACGCCATCCCATGTTATCCATCACGCGATAGACCTCGTTCGTCAGCGTCTGAGTCCACTCGGCACCCTTCATACTCGCCAGACTCCCAGCACTAGGCGTAGAAGTTTGATCTCCAGCGATCTCACGAGTTGACCCTGAATTCGCGCTCGCACTTCGGGCTGAAACTCTGGGTTCGTCTGTGATTTCCTGGAAACGCGCGTGAATTTCAGGGTCTTCGTCTGACTCAGAGTCAGAGACATCACCTCTAGACACATACGCACGTCCTTGTCGCTTCGGCTTGAAACGTCCCTGAGGAATGTTGTCGGCACGAAAGTCACGAACTCTGGGTGGCGGAGCATCATGGTCGCTGCGGCTCCAGGCATCTTCGTCCTGTTCCAGAGCGTACTCTAGATCAGCGATACTCCTGAATCTCTGGCCCTGCAGAGACGTCTTGAGGCGCGTGTCCCTGAGTTTCGTGATGAACCTCCGGATATGCTTCTCCAGGCGCTTCGAAGACTTGCGAAAATCAATGTCAGCCTTCGCAGCGGCGGAATTCAGACGATAAAAGAAATCCAGGGCGCTCTCTGAGTTCTTCATATCCATCGTGAAGTAACGTTCAGAGTACGACGAGCGCGCTTTGCAGTACTTCTTCCTGAATGCAGACGCCAACTCCTTCCAGTCACGCTGAGTGTGTTTGGGCAACTAGTTGAACCAGTCACGCGCAGCTCCCGAGAGTTTCAACTTGAGTTCCTGAATTCGCATCTTCGTAGACCAACCTCCCTGAGCTGCCATGTTCGCAAAACGCTCCCACCAATGCACGCGTTCCTTGAGTGACGCCTTAGTATCGAACTCACCCAGAGTATTCGAGTTGATGTACGGTCTGAACGTCAGGAGCGTAGTGCCAGCTTGAGCCGTAGAGGCCGTCGTCAGGTTAACCCCAGGGTTCTCGTGCGAACTGTCATCCGAACTCTCAGAGGACGAGTCATCATCGCTGGAATCGGAGCTTGGGTCTGAGTCCGAGGGTGGATTGACATCCTGACGCTTCTTCTTCTGCTGCTGGTGTTTCTTGGGTGCAGAGCGCTTGGAGTCTGTTTTAGAGTCCTGCGAGGGATTAGAGGTCGCTGTTCTCCTGGGATCCGGCGTCTTCCCCAGAGACACAGGCTCGAGCTTGACATCCTGCGTCACCTTAGTCTCCGTAGCGCCATGTCCCCGCTTGACGCGCGCGATTCTGCCGGAAGTGTCGGCGGAAGTCTGCGCGACGGTCGCGCTTAGCTGGGAGGCGGCGACTTCGGAAGTGTTTGTCGGATCAGCTGTCTCCCGTCTCTGGCCTGTGACACTTGCGTTTCCGTTGATTACACCACTGGATTCTTGGGGTCGGGTTGCAACTTCAGGGTTCTGAGCCACTGACGACCTCACATTTGTTGCCAAATCAGGGGCGACGGTTGCGCGACGCGCTTGAACTTGGGCCAATGTTGCACGAAGGTCGCGCACTTGGCCGGCGTGGAAGCGCTGGATATTCTCGGAAGACTCCCGCTCTCGCTCTTTCTCCGCCTCAAGTTCTTGGACCTTCTGCTCCATAGTTGACATTTGTTCCTTCCAACCGGCGCAGGTCTCGGAAACCCAGCGCGCGCGCTCCGAGTCGGCTTCGGCTTCGTGCCGTCGCCAGCGCTCGGCGTAGGCGGCATCCAGGCGCTCACGCTCAAGACGTACAGCTTCCGGGATACTCTGGGCCATCCCCTGAGTTTCAGTGGAACGCTGGGTCTGGCGAGCCTCCACGTCCTGCGCACGCCGTTCCGCTTCTCCTCGGGCGATCTCAGCGTGGACCAAGCGATCCGTAAGTTCCTGGATCTGGCGACGCGCGTACAGGTCACATTGTTCCCTGAGGCGCTCGCGCTCCAAGGCATCCAGGCGTTCTCTGGCGAGAAACTCGCGCTGCTCCTGTTCCAAGCGGGCCTGCCACTCCTGCTGTTGTCGCAAGACGTTCAGCTCGATTTGGGCGGGCCCAGACCTCGCGTACACGGACGAAACTGACCCAAGATTCCTGGATCCACTCGAGCAGCTCGACGCAGATGATTTTCTGGATTTCGTCGAGCGTCGAGAGCGCACCTCGCTCTTAGAGCTCTGGTGTTGACTCCGCTCATCGGCGCTGACATCCCTTGGACCACCAAATCCAGCAATCGGGGCAGAAACCCTGAGTTTCGGCTCGGAAGTCGTGGCTGAAATCCTGGGGAGACCGGCCTTCTTGGGTGCGATCGCTGGGTCATAGTGCACCGACGATGCCATCTCAACGTCATCTTGGTCGGCTGACACAATACGCGACGGGATGACTGTCCGGGTGACCTGAAATCCAAAATCCCCGGCAGCTGCAAAGCCACCGGCACTCTAGGCCACAAGCGCTAGAGCTCCAACTCGTTGTCCAAGCGACATCATCGACGAAGACGAAGAGCTACCATAAGACGTTTGAACGCCCGAGGCAGTACTCTCATCCGAAGCGCGCGAGGTACCGGTGACACTTGGCACCGCGCCTGGGGTAGCGTCCTTGGCTTCCGCCTCCAGAGAATCACGTCCATTGGACACGGAATTCAGGGGAGTGGAATTCTGAAGCGAGGCACCAGTCGAAGACTTGTACGCTGGAAGAGAGGACAGCGACGGTGTAGACAACGCGGATGGCGTTGACGGGACTTGTGGCCGAGGCGGTCCATGCTGAATACGCTTGGATCGTGGCTCACCATCACTCGACCCTCGTGGGCTCCCTGAAATCCTGAGTCCAGTGACTCTGAATCTCAGGACAAACTGTCGGCCCAGTAGATCCGCATCGTAGTCCGTCATCAATAGATCACCGTCTCCATCTTCCTTGTGGTAGTCCAGTCTTGGTGCTTGCTCTTGGGCGCTTGGTGCGGCGTGATCTTCAGAGTTTACCTTGAAAGGCACACCAGCTATCACCAATCTCCACTCGACCAGTTCCACGGCGATGAAATTCTGGTTTTCCTCCATGACAGAGCGCACCAGACTTTCTGGAATCCTGGAAGCACGCGTCGAAGACCAGCTAGGGATCAAATTGACAAACTCAAATCCGGCTTCGAAGAACAGAGTCTGCAGAATGGTGACACACTCGCGGGTGGTCATGATACTCTGGGGAATCGTAGTCGCCATGAGATCCTGAGCAGTTCTGACGCCCCATCGGGCGAGGTGAAACTCAGAGATCCAGGCTTCATCTTGATTCTCCAGAGACAAACGCCACTTGAGGTAGTCTCCCGTTGTGTACGCGGCCGCAAAGTACGAGTTGGCATCCGGTTTCGGAGTCGGCCACTCATAAACGACACTTGGCGGCGTCACCTTCCCAGGATTCACCTCTTCCCAGCATCGAACTTCACGTCGAACGTACAGCACCATGCTCCCGGCGTCCAACGCCGCTGCTCCCGATTCCGGAGCAGGCGCAGCAACTTCCCGGATGTCGCTTGCGAACTTGGCGCTGAAACGCTGGGTTCAGGTGGTGCGAACCCAGAATTCACCTTGGAACCCTGAGTCTTCGCCTCCTCCTTCGCTCGCACGGGCTCCGACTTCGCTTCCACAACAGACTCGTCCGAAGATGAGACCAAGTCAATCTCCTCCGGGGGCTCAACCGCATTGGCGCCTTCCTCAGACGCCTGAGCACCACCCTCGCGGGTGTGATCCTCTGGGACTTCAGGAATCCGCGACCCAGAATTCACCTCCGTCGGACCTTGGAACCCAGGGGAAACTTCTTCCTCCTGAGTTTGCGATCCAGCAGCAGGCTGACCTTGGACTGCAGACGCCTCGACGTCCCCACCTTGCACTGCCTCGCTCTCGCGAGCAGCCTTCTTCGCCTTCCGAGCGTCGCGGACGACTGTTTCCAGGCCCTTGTGCTCCTCAGGCTCCATACCTTGAACACGACGCGACTGACGTGACGCCTCACCGCGTCCTCCGTCACCGCGTCCACTCTTCTTCGCCCCTCGTCCTCCAGGCATCTTGGTAGCTTGAAGTTGACGGGCACTCAACACTTCTTCAACACTTGATTCCGGTGAAATCTTCGACAATCGAATCCGGGCACGCGCACCAGCTGAGACGAGGCCGATGAAACCTTTGTCTCCCAGGGGGTTCGTATAGCGCAGCCCAAGACTGTTCCCCAGGGGTAGACCCAGAGAATCGACTTGAGAGTCAACAGCAAGAAGATAGACCCAGAGATTCGCAGCCGCAAAGCTTCAAACCCTGAGAATCACACTCCTTGGTTGGCGTGGGTACCTTGTGTAATCCCTGTCGGCTCGTTTGTCTTCGACGGAACGGCACTCCACCGGTTAAAAATGTAACCTCGAAGAAGTGCGGGAGCGCACGTCTACTTCAGAACGCACCTCCACACCAAAAGGCAAACCCAGAGAATCAGATCTCCTGAAACCCAGAATATCACGAATTCAGGGTCCAGGATTTCAGTCAACTCTGGGACTTGGAACTCAGAAGACACCTTACCCAAATGCCCTCCTAGCTCGATAAAACCAACAAATACAGAGTATACAAACACTACAAATAGCCGTCACTTATTCTTTTGGACCCTTGGACGGTGGGTCACACACACTAGGCTCACTCGAGTCTGAAATTCAGGGGCCTAGCTCCCCTGAGACTCACACGAACGCGCACCACCTCCAATAAAGGAGGAAAATACAATCACTATCAGTTACCTTCCCATCACACAAGCAGTCAATACAAAATCCTGGAGGCGACTACCTAGCACCCCAGAATACCCTCTGGAATAATATGAAATGGGCTACCACGAGCACAGCAAGTGACCCAATTAGGATATGGAATAGATGGATCACCCCAGGAAGCTCAAGGCCGTCGCTGGTCACCACCTCACTGGACTTGAGTTTGATGGAGCCCACACAGACGGCTGTCCTTCGCCGTTGATGTGCCCTTAGCGTCCCGCGGTCGTAGTCTCGGGTCCTCCGGATTTCCGTCGGCAGGCTTGGCCGAAGTCACTTGCGCAGTACAGGGTAAAAGGAACTCTGTTTGGTTTTTATCAGCTACTTCTCTCTCCCTCTCTTCTTCGGGCAAATATCTTCTGTTCACTATGCTTGGGGTCAAAATGTCTTGTCTTGAGTATACCTTGGGATCAGCGGTCCAATCTTGCGATCGGCTTGCGAATCCATTGTCGCACGGCGTCGAAAGTGCCAATTGTGGGTCCTTAGACTTGGTTTAGTATGGTGCAGGACTCCCTCTCGACTCCTCGAAAGTATCCAGTCTGTGCTTCCATGACGGTTCTTCAAGGTCACGCATCATTTTGATTGCAGACTGGCTTCGAACTGGCTCGAATCCCTGAAAACCAGGTGACACTCAGGGTCATCTTCTGAAATCCTGGGGATTCTGAGGAATCTTGGGGAACTGTGGGGATTCTTGGGTGTTGGCTCGGGAAACACTTCAGTTCAGTATAGAGGGTCTGGATTTATGGCCCAAACCCAGAGAATCATCTTTGGAACTCTGGGTCACCTGCACTCAGGGAGGTGAACTCTGGGTGATCGTGCGGCACTCTAGGTTTCCGTGCGACACTCTGGGTAACAAGTCTGCTGCAGTGCAGACTCGTGTGTATCTCCTCAAAGCCACACTTTTAGTGGGTTTAGCGGCCTCCTGCGCATGATCATGGTAGTAGTGGGTTAATTCTCATGGTAATTTGATCCTCTGGAGCACTCTGAGCCACAGCAAGATGAGGCGTACTCTGGGATACATTCTCCAGAGACACTTTCCGCCAGACTTTAGGCACTCATCGTAAGGGAAAGTCCGCGGCTGGACTGAGTGTTCTCTGAAATTCTGGGCGTGCACTCCCAGGATTCACACTTCCAGCCAGTTGGGCTCATCTGCGGTCAGACGCTGGATTCATCCCGAGAAATCACTTCTCTCCCACAGTCGCCATCCATGTCACACGGGTACAGCCGCGCCGTATCCCAGTCATCCACCAATCAGCATCCGATACAAACTCCAGGTCACAGAGGTGACGGCACATCGTCGGCAATTTTCTGGGGACCGCCTCGTGTCACTAAACCAAGAGTAATCCAAAGTCTTGTCACCAATCTTGAATCTCGCAGACATCTCTGACCAATGACCACACTTACCAAGCGCTAGAGAAGCACCACACGCAGGGGAGTGCTATCATGAAGAACAACACGTACCAAATAAAACAGGTTAGCAATAAGGTATAGCATTCGTTCGCTACGAGCGTACCGTTAGCGCCGTACTCGAGCGCCGATGTCTCGCACGATCATCCGTGATTTCTGTTTATTCTTCTGCCGACTTGAGCCCTGGCCGCGCAAATTCTCGAATGAGGCGGATTTTGCAAAAGCGGCAAATGGAAGTCGCTGTGAGCCACCCAGTCCGACACCTTGCAGATTTTGTTCAAATCATACAGTGGGTCCCGCGCCCGTCCCAAACATTATATTCTTAAATTTGACAACACCGGTCTTTGACATCTGGAAAAATAAAAAGGCGCGAGCAGAAACTAAACATAATTTTATCTTGACGTTTGTATATTGGTGTGTTGGGAGAAAGGACAGTCATACAAATTTCAAGTCAAAATTGGCTTAAACTGCATATATGCAGTTTAAGCCTTCAAATCTAAGCTGCATTATGCAGCATCCGGTTTGGAGGGGTTAATAAAATCTTTGGCCAGTTATTCATGAAATGAGTAGCTATACTGAATAGCGAATGATATTTTAGTTGGACTACAGCCGTGAGTAACTTCAAATGATCAGCCAAGCAATAAAATACATTCGCTCTTCAAACTGTTTTGGCAACTCGGAGTACCAGACGCGGACACTTGATGTCGTCTTGTAAATTACAGAATCTAATCGTTTGCTGAAATTCTAGGGCCATGCAATACACGTACAGAAATACGGTAAGTTACCGTGCCTTCGACACTGCTGCACAGCAGCAGTTGTATCATGTCATCGCGAAAACGTTATCACTTAATTTCTTTCTGGCTTTCAAGTAGATGTGGCGCGGAGCCGTACGATAAAATCCCATCCCAAAGTAGTTTTTTAGGTAACGGTATGTAACGTAGATGACATCCCCTCTCTGTACCCAAAGGTTAAGCTGAATGGCTGGTCGCAGGGTTCAACAAACAGAGAGTAAAGTGAAATTCCGGAAGGTAACTCAAAATGCAAATTTGTGCAAAGGGTGGGACAAGTGCATTTGCCGCGAGCGCCACACAAGTCGCTGATACACCAATACTGGCCGTATCCCTTTGCCGTTTTGTAAGTTAAATATGATAAATTCCCTGGATTAAACGTAGCGACGGCGGTGCCGGTGTAAGGATCGGTCTCAGCTGATAGTTGTATATGAGTACGGTTGCTTCAACATCGCTTGAGTGACACCGCCCGCGCTGCACGAAGCATCGCCAGCGGTATGGATGCCTTCCTTACCCGCCGCTGGAGGCTACAATCTCGCGGTTCAATACCCTGGTGAATGCTGCCGAACTTGAGAAGTGGGCTCTCGGCAGAAATCCTTGTATCACCTTTCGCACAAATTTTCATTTTGAGTCCTTCCGAAATTTACCCAGAAGAAACCTACAGTTGTATTTGTTTCATGAAACGAGAGAGCTATTACTTTGTTCGTTGTAATGCAAATAACAGCAAAGGGGTAGTTGTGATTTATTTAAAAGAAGTGCTTAAAAACAACTCGAACACGAGCGACGTGTAACCTGCAGTTCAAAGTCTGACACGTTCGCCACCCACACCTCTGCTCGATGCTTTGATGAGAATATTACGAAGCCTGTTCAGCTTCGCCCATATTTCTTTCACCTCAATGAGGAACTGGAAACGAGAAAACTTCGGGACAGTAACGTCAAGCTGGATATTCTGGCATCCCGATGGTCAAGTCCGACGCGCTAAGGAGAAGTGAGCCATCACACATAGGGCTCAGAATAAAAATGCATTGAAAATCGAAGTAAAATGATCCGTGGTTCCATTTGCCTCTGGGTGGTATATAAAAATATGAACAACGGCCTACCGTAGATTCTCCGCCCAACAGCACTACTGGCATAGCACCTCCTTTGATGTCTGCCAGCACCATTTCTCATTTAGCCTTCAACCATGAAGCTCTTGCGACCTCAAACACCCGCGAATATTGCTGCTCTTCTTTTTGTGGCAGCAAGAGGCGGCTTTGCTCTTGCTGACGAGGTCGAGCTAAGCGTCGAGGCGTACACTGAGGACACTTCCTGCTCCGAGGTCGTCTACGTGGAGATTGGCTCAGATGCCTGTCCAGATGCTTCGAGTTGCTCGGCTGAGAACGACGAGGTCGGCGGGTTTCAATACGCTGTCAGCACGAGCTGCACCACAGACCGGACCGCGTACTTCGCGACGGCATTCAAAGGCCAATCGTACCTGACTATCGAAACGTACGCGTCAAGCTGTGTGGAGGAGTTGTACGACACACGCTCCTATCTCGCCGACGGGGAATGTCACCCGTACAAGTACGGCCACTTCAAAATCGGCGAGGGCGATGATAACACGACGTCGGTTTTCATATCCGATTCAGGTTGCGACAGCACCGACTGGAACGAGGATTGGTCTGCGCTGACGGACTCCGAGCTCAACACGGGAGCCTGCATCACGAACGGTATGGTCGTATTTCGTTCAAGGCTCGAGCTCGAGTTCGAGTTCGACCGACTCTGTCGACACTTCTAGTTCTGCTGAGCCAACGTTGACACCCTCCGCTACGACCGCCACTCCGACGGCGACAACTGCGACTCCCACTTCGTCTGCCAACCTGGCGACGGCTTCCCTCTTGATCTCAGTTATGCTTCTTCTCGTCTCCACAATGCTGTCATAATTACCAGAATTCTGAAATTAGGCCCGAATTTAGTGTATGGCATTCTCATGACTTGAAATTGACACAAACATTCCGCGCTCGATCATTAGTTCTGTATTCACCAACACACAAGAACCGCTTCGATGCCGCTTATACTATACTGCATATTTTATTAGACTGCGCGCAACAAACACCACTTTGAAGATCCAGCGCCGCCCAAGACCCCTTTAAACGATTGTTCCGATTCTCAACCAACACCAACATACCCTATGCGTTACTTTCTTTGATTCTGGTTGTCGCAATTCGTCTTACCAGCACCCGATGAGCCCATGAGAGCCGTCAGGGGGGCTTGAAGAGAGCAATGAAACAATGATCGAGTGTTTTCGTCTGTTCACGATGATTGCAGAGGCGATTCTTGTGGATTTCAACGACTCGATTTGACGTCTTCAACTACAGAATATAATGAAACGTGTAGAGCACATTTGTTACAGATTACACTTGGGATTATTGTGGATTTCGTTGGCCCGATTTGACGTCTGAAAGCACAGTTCTCTCATCCCATTCTCTATATTAACCACCGATTCCTTGATGTGCTGCGTAATATACGACAATGCGGTGATGATGCGATGGTAAATCATCTCTTTTGCTAAAACTACGATGCATGAGCTTGAGTAATTCACAATTATACCCCCCCCCGCGCACCAAGAACCTTGGCTGGAGATCAGCTCTAAAAATATTTGAGAAGGAAGTTGCGGGAACAATAGGCGCTCATCGTCAGCTGCATTCATTTTATATTCAAGCTTTCAAACTAATTCGATGTACACCAGCGCTACTCGCATCGACTTGGCTTACAGTATGGCTGCGCCAAGTGCCACCGATGCATAGATCACCAAGGACACAGCCAGCAGGTTCGACGCATCTGAAGTTGATCCCGTTGTTGCGTTTGTAGCCGCCGGAGTTGCCGTTGCTCCGGTCGTGTTGGTCGAACTATCGGTGGAGGAACCCGAAGGATCAGTACTTGATGTTGTATCATTGGTTGACGAACCCGAAGGACCAGTGCCCGACATTGTTGTGTCATCATCGGTCGAGGAGTCCGATGAATCAGATGTCGACGTCGTCGTATCTGGCGGCGCTTGAGTTGACGGATCAACAAAGTAGAACTTGGCGCCGTACGAGTCGCTCCCGTCGTCATTATCAGGGATTACCACACAGTCGCCGGTATTGAGGTCGGACTTGGACACTGGGTCCTGAAAGTAAAACGGATTTGGCCCACCACATTTGTCGTCGGTGCCCAGGACCGCCACAGTGCCGTCGCCACTCACAGTTGTCGTCATGCCCCAGGCCCTATCATCGTCTTCGTGACCGACGTGACACTCCCCGTCAGCTAGAAATGCACGGGTCAGCACCAGCTCCTCGCACTCGGCGTCGTTGTATCCTACCGCCACAAAGTACGGAGAGCCTGCAAAGGCTGTCTTCAGGTACTCGGCTGGATCTTCAATGCAGAAAATCGAAATGCCCATGGACTGGTAAGCCTTGCAGCCGCTGTCATCTTGGCATGCCCCGGCATCAATCTTTGCTAGCAGCGTTTTAGTACACGTCGAGTCATCGTAGTACGCGCCCACACCATTGGAACCAGCTGCGGGATCGATCGCCTTAGCAGCGAAGCCAACCACAATGAAGACAGCAGGTCGCACGATCTTCATCTTCAGCTCCAGGAAGGTGGTCGATCGGTCGGTGGCAGAATGAACTTGCGTGGGCTGTAAAGGTTTTGAGAATGAGCTGAGGCAGGAGTTGTTGAACAAGTACACTAATGTCGAAGATGAGGTCAATCGTGCTCTGGGAACGTTTCGCCCGGCCTGCGAGTCTTGTTCATTGAGCCGTTGAGCCAAGACGCTCGCTATTCCAGGTCAATACACGACTCCTACTACACAACCAAAACGACAGCTAAACTCAGCATATGACACAGCACAACTTCAACTTGGCTATCACTCAATGCGTTTGAACAGTATTGCGTGCATTTTAGCGAGTATTCAATAGCCCCATGTTCCACTACGTTAGCCACCGCACACACTCGGCGTTCAGCAACGCCTTCTCCGAGTTAGTTGTTGTTACTCGTAATCTCCGATCCAGCCCCGCTCGAGGTTCTTCGCAAAGTTGGCGTCATTGAAAGGGGCGAGGGTGCTCGAGCCAAAGTCGCCAGTCTGCAGTGCATCGCGTGCTTGGTCCGTCAGCTGCGACCAATGGATGAGGTCTTGGGAGTCGCCCACGCTCAATGAGGCGTCAATGGTGTGGTACCCGCTCTTCGTGTTCTCTGCAGAGTACTCCATCATCGGGTGCCTGCCGTCCTCCATAAGGTAAGCCGACCTTCGGCTTGTAGCAGGGTGGAAAGCAACGTAATCGGTCCCGCCACGGGATAACGAGACACCGACCACCGTTTGGTTCACGAGCGCCGGGTTGTCGAGCCACACGATAGCGCTAACCCAGTCGTGACGTACGCCTCGCAGATAGAGATTTGTGTCCTTGGGGAAGTACCAGGCGTACATGGTGGCCCCGGTGTCGCGGTGCCACGTAGATTGGCTGTAAAGCTGCGAGCCCAAGGCCGATCCCTTGCATTCGTCGTCGGACGCCTTCGGGTCCAAGCCTCCGCTCGTGTCACCGGTTCACAGCAGCGTACGAGTGGCAGCCGTCCTTGATGAACAGAGTTGGTTTGAACTTGATAGCGGCCTTCTCGGAGACTCAGGCTCGGGGAACGGCTGCACCTTGTCGTAGTCGATGACACCACCTTAAACAACAGCAATCGCCGCGACCGTGACAGCAACGGGCAGGCCGAACTTCATTGCAATAGCTTGAAGGGGGGTAATCCCTGAGACTAGTACTCGTGCGCTCTTCGACGGGAATCGGGAAGTGTTTGACTACTTCGTACTCCTCTGTAGCGGTTGTGCTGCACAACGACTCGTGGCCAACAATACGGAACATTCACGATCCTGCGGTGCATCTCACACCAACGACATGTAGATTACTCTGCTGCACAGCGACAACTGCATCATGTCACCGCGAAAACGTTATCACTGGAACGAATACCTATTGCATAGAGTCTACTGTTATCCCAAGCTGGGATTCCCAGCGCAGTTGACTCAGCGACCTATCGGGATCCGTGAATTACTAGCTTGGGCAAAGCAGGCTCAACCATGGATGCACTTTACCCGCCGTTGCTAGGAACCCAATACTGAGTCTTGAGATTCGCGAGGCTGGCCGGTCGGTAGGTGAGTATAGGTTTCAATAAAGAGCTAAGAACAGCAACTTGAGGATAAAAAGAAGCTGCATTGCGTCATTTAGTTAGTATTCTACCCAAATCTGAGTCTAGCGCAGGCATAACTTCGGCTACGCGAAAATGTATCTCATTTCATTTCATTTCTACCCAAATGATCGCAAATACTTTCCCAAGCATCCGACTCAACACCCGCGGTCACCAATGCCTCCATTCGTGTCAAAACTGGTAATCGTCGATAAAGCCCCGCTCCAGGTTCTTCTTGAAGTTGGCATTGTTGAAAGGGACGGGGGTATCCGAGCCGAAGTCGCCAGTCTCCAAGGCATTGCGCGCTTCCTCCGTCAGTTGCGACCAGTGAATAAGGTCTTGGAAGTCGCCCACGTCCTCCGACGCATCGATCGTGTGGTACCCGCTCCTCGTGTCGGCTGCAGAGTACTCCATCTTGGGGTGTGTGCCGTCCACATAGCCATCCCACATTCTGCTTCGATCAAGGTGAAACCCCCCGTACGAGGCCCCACCACTCGAGAACGAGACACCGATCAGCGTTTGATTCGCCAGCGCCGGGTTGTCGAGCCACACGATAGCGCTAACCCAGTCGTGACGTACGCCTCGCAGATAGAGATTTGTGTCCTTGGGGAAGTACCAGGCGTACATGGTGGCCCAGGTGTTGCGGTACCACGTAGAGCGGCTGTAAACTTGCGAACCCAACGTCGACCCCTTGCATTCATCGTCGGACGCCTTCGGGTCCAAGCCTCCGCTCGTGTCACCGGCAGCGTTCACTGCAGCGTAAGGGTGACATCCGTCCTTGATGAACAGAGTTGGTTTGAACTTGATAGCGGCCTTCTCGGAGATCGTTTTGGGCCCCAGCTCGGGGAAAGGCTCCACCTGGTCGTAGTCGATGACGCCAGCGTCCACTGCAGCGAGTGCTGAGAGCGCAACAGCTAAGGGAAGAACGAACTTCATTGAACAGTAACAACTGACGGGTGAGGGTTGACAGTCAATCACCGAGACTAGTACTCGTGGGCTGTTAGTCGGGAATCGGAAGGAAAGTGTTTGACTACTCGTCACTGACCTTGGCAGCACAACGACTCGTTGCCAACGATACAGTACGTACGTTCACTATCCCGCACTGCATCACGCTACAACGACGCCCGGCCGATTACCCTGTTGCACAGCGGCAACCGTATCATGCCATCTCGAAAACGTTATCAAAAGAGGGAAAGCTCCCTCGCAGAGACTCCGTCTGTCATCCCAGCGAAACAGGTGTGCACACTACTGTTGGCTGCTTGTACTGTAATGAACAAACTTGGGCGATGCATGGATGCGCCTCGCTTGCTGTCAGAGCGCAACAACGGCGGGGAGCGCGAGGCAAGTTAATGTAACTACTGTTTAACTGACCATCGTTGCAGTCATTGTCAATGTGCAAGCAGCGTTATTGCCGGGTCAACCAGGTTGACCCGACGCTGGCCGAATTGGATCCAGGTCCGAGTTGACTCAGACCAAGTTAGACAGGCTTCCGTCACCCTCCACCACAGATCGAACCGCTTTTGAGAGGGAGAAGATCGCCATGCGCTTCATCTTCAAGAGTCGCAGGAAGAAAGATGGACCAGCTAACGCATGATGAGCGAGCGCGTGTCCGTGAGTACGCAAAGACCATGGTGCACACCAGCGGACCATTGAGCGGGAAGCCGAACGTGAAGGCCGTCTCCGAGAAGATTGGCCGGTCGAGACACGCAGTGAAAGACGTGCTGAAGCGTCAGTAGCTCCGCGAGCCGTCCCCTGAGGGCCGCACTGGCCGCCCGACCCTGCCGAAAAACACCCCGGCGGCCGTGGCGCAGGCCGTCAGCGCCATCCGTGCAATGGACCCGGAGGCCGCCAAGCTCATGAGCATGAATTAGATGGCTCGGCAGATCGGCCGGTCGCCAACGACGTTACGCCGTGTCTGGGACGATGCAGAGGAGTTTCTGGTGAGAGAGACGAAAGTGAGTTTCAAGACTGCAAATCGTATCACTAGACAGGAGCTGCTGGACCTCATCCTCAGCGGCAAAGTGGTCTCGGCGTGCTTCGCCTTCTACGCCATCACCGACCTGGACCTCTGCCTGGCCATCATTACGCTCCTGCTGGAGTTCAAGATCCCCGTGCGGGTGATTTTCGATCGCGCTTGGACACGGAGCTGCCCTAAGGCCATCGAGTGTATCAAACTGCTAATTGCGGGAGGTGCGCCACCGCCGTCGCCGCATGCACTACAAGCTCATGACGCTCATGTTCGCCGACTCCATCTTCGCCTCGGCTGGCAGTGCCAACCTGACTGCGGCAGCATTCGAGAGAAATGACGACTTTTTTGTCCAGACTGAAGGCCCCGGCGGTAAGTGTAAAAACACGTTTTTTACACTGTTCGCAAGGTGCTAATATATATATATATATATGCTATACTATTACAGCGTTTCAGGCACAGGTGCTGTTCGACCACTTGTGGCACGACTGTGTGGTCACGGACCCGGACGAGCATCTAGCCCCCAAGAAAGGGAACCCGTTTTCCAGTGAGCCTACCGGAAATCACACGCCGAGCAGGAAGACCCGCACGATTCCTACCGAGGTGACTGGCCAGGTTCCTGCAGTTGAGAACGCCACTCCAGATTTTGGGCCGAGCAATATGGACACTGAAACCCATGCCCCCATACGGATGCAGGCAGCGACTGTGATCGAAGAAACGTCTTTTGTTGAGCTTCTGCTGGACACTACTGTGGACGCCCCGACGGAAATACATACTCCGGTCACACGGCGTTCCCCACGAGCGCGTTACCGTTACCCCTGCAAGTGCAAGAGTGAGGGGTGCGCTAAACAAGCTCAAGGATCGGACTACTGTATAAAGCATGGGGGTGGACGACGCTGTAAGACTGAAGGATGCAATCATTTTGCTCGTGCGAGGGGCCTTTGTGCTCAACACGGAGGGGGCCCTCGCTGCAAGACAGAAGGATGTGATAAGTTTGCTATATCAGACGGCCTCTGCATTCCACATGGAGGTGGGCAACGCTGCAAGATCGAAGGGTGCAATAAACTTGCTCGTGGGGCGACCGACGCACAGGTGTGTCAGACATACTGGTGGAGTGAGTGCACTGTAAGTCGGAAGGCTGCGAGAAACTGGCACTAACAGGCGGCTACTGCATCCCGCATGGAGGCGGACGCCGTTGCAGGACTGAAGGTTGCAACAGTTATTCTCTCTTTGGAGAATTCTGCCGGCTGCATCAACAAGAGCAAGACGATATTGTGTAGAAAACACACGGTGGAGAAAGATCGCAAACGGACGGCTAAGAAGAAAGATCGCAAACGGACGGCTGCAAACGAACGCACGCTATGACAAGCTTCAACAACTTCAACAACGGAGGAAAAGATCGCTTTTTGACAAGCATCGAGGATTGAAGCTCCGCACGCGCGGAGGCCCCGATGCCATTCATCTCATTCCTGAAATCTCCGAGTCCAGCTCACCCCAAGGAAGGCTCTCAGCGGTCAACTACAAGTCCATCGTAGCGTCCAACATCAACAGCAACCAAATCAAATCGACCGCCAGCCGTTCCCAAGTCGTGAGGCATGCACCTGAACCCCTTCCGCCTCGCCGCCTTGGCGCTGGCTCTAGTGTCTACCTCGTCGGCTGAAGAGGACACGTTTTGGAGTCTCTTCGGCGGCACCCCGGCCTACGGGGGCACGACCGGCACATCTGCCTATGGAGGGACCTCCGCCTACGGAGGGACCACAAGTACAACCGCCTACGGAGGCACCTCCGTCTATGGCGGCCTCTCCAGCATCATCCAGAGCGTCCTGCCTCCAATCGACTGCCAAGTGGGGCCCTGGAGCGACTACGTTGGCTGCAACTCCGCCTACTCCACGACCAAGACGCGCCGTCGAGTTGTGACCGTCTGGCCCCTCAACAACGGAGCGGCCTGTCCCGCGCTGGAGGAGTCCCAGCCATGCGTCCGTCAGGACTGCCAGGTCGGGCCTTGGACCGCCTTCTCGCAGTGCAACCCGCTGTGTGGGAAGAAGACACGCACGCGCGAGATCACTCTACCCGCTCAGGACGGAGGCGCCGCGTGTCCCGCGCTGGTCGACACTGCCCCATGTGACCCCATCAACTGCGTCGTGAGCGACTGGTCGTCGTGGAGCTTCTGCCTGCTGGGCAAGAAGACGCGCTCGAGATACGTGCAGGTGTGGCCCCAGTACGGCGGCACGCCCTGTCCGTCGAACCTCATCGACATCCAGTCCTGCAGCCCCGTGGATTGCGCCGTGAGCGACTGGAGTCCGTGGAAGATCATCGGCCTCAAGAAGTCCCGCTCGCGTGAAGTCACGTGCCAGGCCGATGGGGGTAAACCCTGTCCGGCTTTGGTTGAGGAGGCGACGTGCAACCCCATCGACTGCGTCGTGAGCCCCTGGTCCTGGAGTGGAGTGTGTGACCCCACGACCAAGCTGCGGATTCGCATCCGAAACATCCTCACGGCCGCTCAAGACGGCGGTAAGGTCTGCCCTGCTCTTCAAGAGACTGTGACGTGTATCGACTGCGTGGTGAGTGCCTGGACCGACTTCTCCGTCTGCAACCCGCTCACGGGCACCAAGACGCGGTCGAGGACGGTGGTCACTGCGGCGGCTAACGGCGGAGCTGATTGTCCAGCGCTGGTGGACACTGTCCCGTGTGATCCGGTCTCCTGTGCGGTGGGAGACTGGACGCCGTGGGGATCCTGCGACCCGAAGACGCTGCAGCGCCAACGCACTCGCGTCGTGGTGACGACTCCGTGCTACGGAGGCGCCGCCTGCCCGCCGCTCGTCGACACCCAGGCGTGCGTCCCTCAAGACTGCGCAGTCAGCGATTGGAGCCCGTTCGAGTTCTTCGTCAAGGACACGGGCGGTCTCAAGTACAAGCGCCGCTCGCGGTCGGTGATCCGAGCGTGCGACGGCGGAGCGGCGTGTCCGCCTCTGGTGGAGGAGGTGCAATACCAGCCCGTGGACTGCCAAGTGAGCAAGTGGGTCTGGGACGACAACGGAGCTGGCGCGTGTCCTCCCGGGACCCAACGGCGACGCACTCGAACGGTTGTGACGCAGCCGAAGGACGGCGGAGCGGCTTGTCCCGCCCTCGTTGAGCTGGTGGCTTGTGGAGACTGCCAAGTGAGCGCCTGGAGTCCGTTCGGAGCCTGTGACGCCGGTACAATGACCCGCAAGCGCACGCGAACTATCACCCAGCAACCCGTCGGCGACGGAGCTGCGTGCCCTGTGCTTGAAGACATCGCTCCGTGCGAGCCTGTACCCTGCCAAGTGAGCGACTGGACTGCGTGGGGGCCCTGCACGGCGTCCAAGGTGCGCCAACGTACTCGAACTATCGTGAACCCAGCCAAGTACGGAGGAACCGAGTGCCCTCCGCTTGTCGACCAGCAGAACTGCAACCCTGTCGACTGCCAAGTGAGTCCGTGGGGACCCTTCGAGATCCTCGGCTCGACGAAATGCCGCCGTAGAACCGTTCTACGCGATGCTGACGGTGGCAAAGCCTGCCCAGCTCTGGAGGAGACGACGACGTGCAAGAAGGTGGACTGCGTCGTGGGCGAGTGGGGGCCCTACTCGGCTTGCGACCCTACCACCAAGCATCGCTCTCGTTCTCGCGTAGTCTTGACGTCTCCTCAAGACGGTGGTGCCGCATGTCCAGCATTAATTGAAGCAGTAGCCTGCGCCCCCATCGACTGCCAGGTCAGTCGTTGGGGTACGTGGAGCGACTGCTCTCCGATCACCGGCAAGCGCACGCGTCGCCGCACTGTGACGACCCCCTGCGCCTACGGAGGTGCCGACTGCCCGCCGCTTATCGACGAAGACAAGTGCCAGCCTGTGGACTGCAAGGTGAGCGACTGGACCGCGAGGAGCGGATGCAACCCGCTCACCAAGACTCGCACGCGCAGCCGTTCCCTGATCACGCCTGCCAGCTACGGCGGCGCCGCGTGCCCCAGTCTCGTGGAGACTCAAGTCTGCACCCCGACCGACTGCATCGTGAGCTCCTGGTCGCCGTTCGCTTCGTGCGACAACAGCGGCACCGGCAAAGCCAGCGGCAAGGAGCGTCGGTTCCGGACGGTGCTGCAGCAGCCCGACGGTGGCGCTGCGTGCCCTCCCCTGATGGAAGAGCGACCGGCGCCGAAGGTGGACTGCGTCGTGAGCGACTGGAGCGATTGGGGAGTGTGCGACCCCGTGCTGTTCGTCCGCGTGCACAACCGCTCGGTCATCTCGGAAGCCAAGAACGGCGGCAAGTGCTGTCCTGCGCTCCAGGGCTCGCAGCCCTGCTGTCCCAAGCGCGTGGACTGTAAGGTGGGCGAGTGGTCGGACTACCCGCCGTGTGACGCAGCTTCCAACACTCAAACTCGCACGCGCGATGTGACTCAAGCTGCTGGTCCTGGAGGCAGGACGTGTCCCGACCTCCAGCAGACTCGCAGCTGCAAGCCGAGCGTCGACTGCCAAGTCGGAGACTGGAGCGACTGGGGAAGCTGCTCCAAGAGCAAGTTGCGGCGCACTCGAACGCGCCAGGTTATCACTCCGCGGTCGGGTAAAGGCGCCAAGTGTCCGGCACTCAAGGACACACAGAGCTGCACTCCGGTGGACTGCTCCGTGACGGACTGGAGCGACTGGAGCGCCTGCGACTCTGGAATCAAGACGCGCACTCGAACCGTTCTGCAGGACGCCGACGGCGGCAAGAAGTGCCCGAGCCTCATGCAGACCAAGACGTGCAACTCCAACGTGGACTGCCAGGTCTCGAGCTGGGGCGACTACGCAGCTTGTGACGAGTCGACGTGGAAGCGGACCAAGACTCGCTCCGTCCTCGTGTCGCCCAAAGGCAAGGGCAAAGCGTGCCCCTCGCTCACTCAAACGGATTCCTGCCCCGCGCGCGACTGCAAGGTCAGCGGTTGGTCCCAGTACGGAGCTTGTGACTCCACTGGCAAGCGGAAGCGCACGCGTCAAGTTGTGACCGAGGCTCGTGGCGGAGGCAAAGCGTGCCCGCCACTGGAGGAGACTGGTCCCTGCAACGCAGTCAACTGCGGCGTGACTCCGTGGGGCCCCTGGAGCGACTGCGACAATGCCTCTAACACTCAGACGAGATCCCGATCGGTCCAGGTGCAGCCGGCCAACGGTGGCACAGCCTGCCCGCCGCTCACGCAGACGCGGAGCTGCCAGAAGTGCATTGTGAGTGACTGGAGCGACTGGTCCATCTGCACGGCCGACACGCCCACGCGCTTCCGAACTCGGACCATCGTGCAACAACCGCCTCCTCCTTCGACTTGCGGCATTTCCGACACCGACGACCTCGTGGCGAGCTTGCAGTGCCCTGTGTTGCGCGACGAGCAGCCGTGCGAGGCCATCAACTGCACGGTGAGTGACTGGAGCGACTGGAGCGACTGCAACCCCGACACCTTCGTCAAGATCCGCAACCGCACCATCATCCAACCTGCCGTACGAGGTGGCACCGAGTGTCCCGACCTCGGCGACACGGATATTTGCCCCCCTGTGGACTGCGTCGTGGGCGATTGGACCGAGTGGAGCTCGTGTGGATTGAACGACATCGCGTCGTCGCGGTCTCGCCCAGTGCTGGTGCCTGCTGCGTTCGGAGGCGCCGAGTGTCCGTGGACCAGTGAGAGCGTCGACTGTCCGTCGATCGACTGCGTTCTGAGTGACTGGACGGACTGGAGCGTATGCACGGACGACACCCCCACGCAGACTCGCGAGCGCTCGATCGTCCAGGACGCCGTACGCGGTGGAGCTGCGTGCGACGTGGTAACGCAGACGCGGACGTGTCCGCCTGTGAACTGTGAGCTGAGCGACTGGAAGCAGTGGCAGGCGTGTGACGCCAAAACGGGGACCAAGACGCGCTCACGCGACATCAAGCGCTCTCCTCAGCGCAATGGCACGGCCTGTGACGCCCTTCAAGACATCCAGCCTTGCGACGCGGTGGACTGCATCGTGGACCCGAGCTGGGGCGACTGGAGCGCGTGTGACAACACCTGCGGCAAGCGCTACAAGAGCCGGCAGATCCTGCAGAAGCCTCTGTACGGCGGCGCCGAATGCGCTGCGCTGGTGATGGAGGGCCCCTGCGAGCCCGTGAACTGCGCCGTGTCCGCTTGGAGCGACTGGAGCGACTGCGACGCTGCCACGGGCCTGCGCACGCAGACGCGCAACGTCACGCAGCAAGCGCTGTACGGTGGCTTGGCGTGCCCCGCGCTGGTCCAGCAGAAGAAGTGTGATCCGGTGCCCTGCAGCGTCGGCGAGTGGTCCGCGTGGACGTCGTGCGATACCGACGACCCGCAACAGCACCGCTCCCGCAGCGTTACGCAGAAGCCGCTCTACGGAGGTACCGAGTGCCCCGACCTCACGCAGGACGTGACTTGTCCTCCGATCAACTGCGACGTCGGACCCTGGAGCGACTACGGACTCTGCGATGCGAGCACGGGCCTGCGGACGCGCACTCGTTCTGCTATTCAGGTGCCTCGACATGGAGGCGCCGCCTGCCCCGCTCTCAACAGCACCATCGCCTGCGACCCAGTGGACTGCAAGGTCGGAGACTGGAGCGACTACGGCGCGTGCGACGCCGTGACGTTCAAGAAGGCCAAGTCGCGCACTGTGGTGCAGAAGCCGCTGTACAATGGCGCAGCGTGTCCCGACCTGACGAACGACCTGTTGTGTGACCCGATTCACTGCGTAATGAGTCCGTGGGGTGCTTGGGAGAGCTGCGACGCTGCGTCTCAAACCAAGACGCGTCGGCGTACAATCAGTACGCAGCCCAAGTACGGAGGCCTCGCGTGCCCATCGCTAACGGAGTCGGCCGCTTGCGACCCGGTGAACTGCGTCATGGGACCCTGGTCCGACTGGAGCGTCTGCAAGAGCGACGGCAGCGACACCAACTCGTTCCGTACGCGGTCGGTGGTGCAAGCCGCGCTTTACGGCGGCACCGCATGCGGACCCACGCGCGAGGAAGTTCCGTGTGGAGCTGTCAACTGCGCTGTCGGGAACTGGACGAGCTGGTCGACGTGCGACTCGAGCTGTGGCAAGAAGTCTCGTACTCGCCAAGTCTCGCAGCGCGCCTTGTACGGTGGAGCGGCGTGTCCCGCGCTGGAAGATCTTACGAACTGCGACCCGGTGGACTGCGTGGTGGGCGACTGGGACGCAACTTGGTCGGGTTGTGATGCGAGCTCGGGACTGCGGACGCTGACTCGTCCGGTGCTGCAAGCCGCGCTTTACGGCGGCAAGGCATGCCCCCAGACCGTCCAGACCAAGTCGTGCGATCCCGTGGACTGCACTGTGAACGACTGGGCAGAGTGGGGCTCCTGCAACACCGACACTGGCAAGACGACGCGCATGCGTACTGTCAAGCAGCGCGACCTGTACGGAGGCTGCAAGTGCCCCGACCTCACGCAGGAAGCACCGTGTGACCCGGTGCCGTGCGCCGTTGGGCCCTTCAGTGACTGGACCAACTGCACGGATGCCGACGCCACCACGTCGCGCACTCGCCCGATCACGCAGAAGGCGCTCTACGGCGGCGCTGAATGCCCCGCGTTGACGGAGACGGCTGTCTGTCCACCCGTGGACTGTGTGTTGGACTCGTGGGGACCTTGGAGCGACTACGACGTCGTGACTGGAGTGCGCACGAGGAAGCGCGCTGTGATTCAGCCTCCGGTGCGCGGTGGCTCGCCCTGCGACGTCACGCTGGACTCGGAGACTGCGCCGCCTGTCAACTGCCAAATGGGCAACTGGACCGAGTACAGCCCGTGCAACGACGTCGCGGGAGTCAAGACCCGGTCGCGTCCGATCCTGGTGGCGCCAAAGTACGGCGGACTCGCGTGTCCCGACCAGCTCCAGAACGCGACCTGCGACCCGGTGAACTGCGTCGTCAGTGAGTGGAGCTCATGGGGCACGTGCGACTCCAGCAGCGGCAACAAGACGCGCAGTCGCGATGTCCTGCAGAAAGACAAGTACGGCGGCGCCTGCTGCCCGGCACTGACGGACTCGGCGCCTTGCGACCGCGTGGACTGCGTCATGAACGACTTCGGCGCCTGGACGCCGTGCGACCCGGCGACCGGAGTCAAGACGAGATCGCGCACGGTTCAAGTCGCGCCGATGTACGGAGGAAGCGCGTGCCCGAGCACGACGGAGCAGGGCTTCTGCAACCCCATCGACTGCAAGGTCAGCGACTGGAGCGCCTTCGGAGCTTGCAACGCTACGTCCGGACTCAAGACGCGCACACGCACAGTGACGACGCAGCCGCTTTACGGCGGAGCGGCGTGTTCTCCTACGACGGACACGGCGGCGTGCGATCCGGTGAACTGCCAGGTCGGCTCGTGGGGCTCATGGTCGGCCTGCAACGCAGCGACGTTGACCTCGACGCGCTCGCGGAAGATCACGGTGAGCCCAGCGTACGGAGGCATCGAGTGCCCGTGCCTGACTGAGACGTCCCCGTGCAAGATGCCGACGCCGACGAACTGCACGGTCACCGCGTGGTCGGACTGGACCAAGTGCGCCAGCAAGACCGGCACGCGCACGCGTACGCGCAAGGTGGTGACGGCTGCTACCAACGGCGGCATGGCGTGTCCTGCGTTGACCGAGACCGGTTCGTGCGCCGGCTTGACGTGCACCATGGGCGCGTGGTCGAGCTGGACGACGGGCTGTGACAGCTACGGCATGCAGACCCGCACACGCGTGATCCTGGACGACCCGTACACGTGCAGCGACTTCTGCGAGGCGACGATGGAGTGGCGCGCGTGCACGTACAGCAACTCGACTAACGACTACGCCCCTCCTGCAGCAGCTCTCCTCCTGTCGACTGGTGAGATGGCCTTGGAGGCCCAGGCGTTCGGCGAAGACGGAGAGCACAGCCACGTCCAGGCGTTGTATGTGTAACTTGGCTTGCATGTTTGTTTTGCTTCGGGTGAGTAAGTAGCGTGTCGATAGCTTACATTTTTTTTCTTTTCAACTACCCGTTCAATACATTTTCGTGAAGATCAAAGCTCTATAAAGTTGAAGATCGCTAAAATCGTAAGCCCAAGTGCCAATAGATTGACGTGGAGAGCCGAGGTTGAAGACGATAACGTTATGGTAACCGCGCTCGTTGTGCCGTCGGAACTAAGAGGACGTGTCGTTGGTTCCGTCGATCAAGTAGAGTTTCGCTGAGTGGATATCCGTGGGGAAGCAAGCACCAGTGTTGACGTTCGCCTTCCGAACAGGATTGATCACATCGCCCCAGTCGCCAAGCTCACACGTTTTGGCCCTACTCTTGATGCTCACGGTGCCGTCAGTGTCGACAACAACCTGTAGCGCGTAGTTGAGGCTGTTGTGGCACTTGCCGTCCGCACGGTAAACGTCGGTTGACGTAAGCTTCTCGCAGTTGGTGTCGTCGTAGTGCTCCAGCAGCACGTACAGAGTGTCGCCATACGCGTCCTTGAGGCATTCCTGTTGCGTGTAGTTGCAGAATTCGTAGAGAGAGCTGTTGCCTAGATCGCCAGTCTCTTCGACGCAGGGTGTCGTCGCGGCGCACGGAATTGGATTAATCGTCGAAAACATGGCTAGGGATCTCTCGTCACAGGTTGGACTCTCGTTGACTTCATGGATACTCGAAGTGCTAACGGCAGCACCAGGCCTGATCACTCGGAACAGAAGCACGAGGATGGTGAAGCCACTGCATTGCCGGAGAAGCTTCATTGTCGTGATATGGACGTCTGGAGTCGTATTTCTTGTTGCTTGGGGAGATGAGTATTCAAAAATGAAGAAAGCTCCACCAAGGAGGGAGACTACAACGTTAATTTGCATCCCACGATTAAAGCTGAATTTAGATTCACGTAGTCCCGGAATGGGGTGACTACTGCAGTCAGTAAATAACTGTCGATCCGATTTTACCCATTGGTCTGACCCCGTTTCATGTAGAAACCTCGGCATCTTGTCTTTGAACCCAGGGAGGTGGAAATAGCTGAGTCCAATTGCCATGCGATCCCTTTTTACTAGAAGCAATGGATTCTGCTGTGATGTTGACTTCGCTCGTCTTTCAAGAAGTGCATAACTTCGTACTAGTACAATAATGTTTGATTCTTCCTTTTCTTCATGAGTGTTTTTGATGATGATGATCACAGTTGTCTATTTAACTTTAGTTAATAGCGTCCTGAAAAATCCTGAGCATGTTAATTGTTCGATCGGCTACTACACTCCTATTAGCAAAATGCCGGAAATGAATCCCGCCATGGCAGTCACAAGTCGAACATCCCCCAGAGTTGAAGCCGCTGAAGAAGTGGCTGTCGTGTGCGCTGTGGACACGTCTGTGGTAGTCGACGATGTTGTTGACGTCGACCCGGTTGTATCTGTCGATTCTGTTCCAGTGATGACCGTCGTAGCCGCCGGGAGGGTTCCCGAAAAGGTGGCTTTGAACGAGGTCCCAGAGCCGGGGGAGACGCAGTCTCCGTTGTCCAGGTGCGTCGTCTTGAACGAATACAACGAGTACGACGTCAACAAGCTGGCCTCACAGCCAACGTCCGACACTAGCGCCCACATTGTGCCGTCCTTGCCCAGAACAACCTGCACGTAGCCGGTTTTGAATCGGTGGCACTTGCCGTCGGCCAAGAAGGCCGCGTAGAGGGTTTTACTCGGAGTCGTGCAGTCGCTGTCGCTATAAGTAGACTGCTGCGTCGGCGACCGCTCCGCTGTAGATGGAATACTGAGTGTCGACGCTCTGCGTGTTGTACGCCTGGCAACTGGAGTAGCAGCCGTTCTGTGAGACGTCGATCGTCACGTGCCCCGCCTTGGTGCACTTGGAGTCCTCGCTGGTCGACTGGACGCACAAACTGGTGTCGCCAAGTGCGCCGCTCGCAAATGCTGCAACGGCAACAAGGCTGGACATAGTCGACACTCGCAGCGAAGTTGCCTTCATGATGGTCGTATAGCTGCAGGAGAGAAAGCAGGTGTCGGCGTGAAAACAAAAATGCATCCATCCTCACCACAAGCAGGCGCACGAAGACATTGGCTGCTACTACCAGGCTGCAATGCTATACTTGGGGCGATAAGAATCACGGCACTTGACACACTATCCATCCGCGCGTTGTCCTGGGCTCGAGTTAAGATCCCCCTCGATTCATTTCTCTCCGAGTTGCACCATCATGCGGTCTTGTTCTGGATGTTGCTGGACGCTGATCATGAGATCATCTAAGTAGAGCGGATGCATTTTTTTTAACGTGACGGTGAGTTTACTGCTTAGAAGTTTCTCGTGGCAGTATAATACAAGCGCTTGAAAGTTGGCATGTAGCCGCGGTTAATAGCAACTCAAGCAGTTTTGGCTGCTGCGGTTGTTGCCAGGCTCTTGTTGCTGCTGTCCTTAGTCCTTGGACTGCGGGATTGCGAAGCTGCATGTCACAGAGGGCTGGGCCGGGGTGTCTTTCAGTTTGATCTCGATCGTCTCGAAATTCTTGCAATTCTCCCCAACGCAGTCGCTCAGTTTGATCTCTACCCGAGCGATTTCCTTATGACGCCTACAATAGCGAAAACTTGGTTAGTACAAGGTCATGCAGGACGAGATCAGCCACCTAACAGTAGTCCGCGCTACGAACCTGAAGCAGCCGGTGTAGCGCCGGTGTCGCTTCACAACAACCTCCAGCGTGCACGTGCGAAGCTCCGCAATGGAATGAACATTCTCCACCTCCAATGCGGCGCGAATCCACAGCGCTCTTGCGCTCGAGTCCAGCGCTGCGTCTGTCTTGCCGTCCCTGATAGCGCCGGCCCCGTTCGTGATCTTCCACTCGCAGTAAACGTTCCAGAAATCGCGCTTGGGCAGATTTGTCACGTCATTGATGTAAAATGTGATCGGCGTACGAGGCGTATACTGGCTATCGAGCCTTCCCAGCTCGGACGAGTGCACCCACACGTAATCGCCGTCCTTCGTAGTGGCACAGCACAATTTGGAAACTGCACCAACGGTTAGCTCGTCGTAGGCTGGGCTGTGCAGCAGCAGGATATCACGAAGTTTGGCCATCCGCGCGTTTTGGTCCAGACTTGAGTTGCCGTTGCCCCCATTTAACTGTGAATCACCCAGCACGTCTTGGACTTGACGGGCACGATCTACCGCACTCAGTGATTCTGCTCACAAATACATCGTCAAAATTGTACATTGATAAGGGTTTGTATGAGTAATTGACGTAACTTACCGGATAACAGGATGCCCACTGCAGCGCTTGCAACGGCGAAGGGGATCGCGGCGGACGCAACGGATAGTAACATAATACCGGCCTGCAGATTAACCAAATGGTTAGTGCCTGTGTACGCCATACGCAAGACAGGTCTGAGCGAGGAGCTCACCTTGATAAAGTCTGCGTACCTGCCGAAGAAACTGGGTCCGTCGATCTGCAGTGGGTCGTGGTAGCATAGTCCCGTGAGTTCGCTGTGCATGCGCAGCTCCACCTTGTTCTTGTCTTGATCATGCGTGAGCGTCCACACCGCGGGGTATTGACGCTTTTTGTCGTTGCTAATGAGCTTCTTGAGCACCGCCAGATCCCGACTAAGCTGGAGATAGTCGAGTCGCCCGGCCGTTTCCCACGCGCACTGAAGAAACCAGGCGAAGTCAGGAGGTAGCCACGGTAAATCTTGGCGGAGGTGGGCTTCCTGACGAGTACTGTTCATGAGGTCCGTAACGCCGTGGATTTCTCCAGTAGCACTGGAGATGACAGATCGCTTGATGCGTCTTTTCTCGGGGGACTCCAACCCAGGATAGTCTTTCAGAACTAGCTCCATGGCAACGACAAAGTACTGCATCTCTGCCCACGCGATCTCGGCCGTCGACGCATCAACTCTGATCGTGATATCATCACACTGGTTCTGTGTTTGGGGGGTAAACTTGATGCTGCCCACAAACTCGCCCGGGACAACACAATCGAGGAACGTTGTTCCCACCTCACGTCTGACATCCGAGCGGTAGCACTGCACGACGAAGTTGACAAAGATGGTCTCCGACACGCTGACCGGTAACGAGTACTGCCACTGCGCGACATAGGTTCCGCTGCCGCACGTTTGGTCCAGGATGGATTGTGTTCTCGCCAACAAGCGGTGGACCACCCCTTGGGCCACCTTTTTCGTCTTCCAATACGCCGGCACGATCATGTCGCCGGTGTCGAGGCTCTCCACGCTGTTAGCTGGGTACGCCAGCTTCAACTGTACCAGCAGTTGCTTGAAGAGCGGCACCATGTCCTGGTGCAAAGCCTTCCAGGATGGGAACTGCATCAGCAACGAGTGCCGAAGCGTGCCATCCTTCCGTAACGCATCATAGTCGGCACCTTGCTCGCCTTCGTACACGTGGTTGACCACCTCACTCACGATGTCGAGCATAATGGTCGGGTCCAAAATGATATACTCGGAGAATCTCTTCTCGCCGCGCTTCTGCTTGGTTTCGCGCGACGTGTCCTCGTGGTACCACACCACTTCCCCCAAATTGTGCAGTATACGAAGGATGCCGTGGCAGTCATCAGAGTCCTTTATGCTGAGCTCGTCCATCAGAAACTTGCTCAGCGTAATTACTGGTTTGATCACCTCCGCAAATCGTTTCTGTCTTGGCTTGCCGGCCGCCGATCTTCGCAGCTTGACAATGCACTCGAAGACTTGAGTGTGCAGAGGTGGCGTCTCGAAGCTGAGGTTCTCATCGGCGGCGATGACACCCTCGATGCATTTCTTCGCTGTTTCTATAGACTCGCGACAATTCTTCCCAGTGCCGGTGGTCGTCAGCTCCTCTTTGAACTGCTTTCTCATAGCAGCGATGGCAGTTGGCGAGATCTCCACTTGTCGCTCGTCATCGTCCAAAAAGGCTTTGAGACGCAGCTGCACGTCGTTCTTAATCTCCTTCAAGTCGCGCCCCTCCGCTACGAGATCGCAATGAGTTCCAACCATCTTGAACTGCGCGTCTGGCTGGCGAAGCAGAACCAACCGCATCCATCGGAGCACGTTCTCTTCAAAGAAGCGCCGCAGGATTTCCTCGCCTTCCATATCCGGCAGCGCACGCGCCTCTCGGATCTTCTCTACGTAGCGCCCCAAGTGAATGCACACGAGGTACAATGTGCGCCGCGAGAAGAAAAGCGCGTGCGCCACCTGGTAGATGTCTTGGCCCGCAAAGTCCCAAAAAGTGACGTCGTGCGACTTCTTTTGTACTACGAGATCGCTTGTGGGAGGCTCGCCATTTCCAGTCTGCTCCTCACTCTCAAACGTGAACGAAAAGAGATCAATCCCAATGGTTCGGTCGTCGTAGTCAGCAGCCGACGAGGTTTCATCCCGCATCATCTTCACGAGCGTTGTCTTCCCCCACGTGCTTGGACCCACGACACAAATCTTTGAGCGATACACAAAATCTCCGGCAGTAGCGGTCTCCAACGCCTTTAGGTACGAGTTAACACCAACCTCGCCACTCTTGACGACTTCAGATCGAACTCTCATCAGCGGCTTCCCCTGCTGGAAACGGCGGCCCCAGTACTGCGTGATCGCTTGTAAGCCCAGTTGATGGTCTTGCAGTGGCGTGCTGCGTGATGACAGTTGCAGCTCTGGCTGTGATCCTTGAGAGCAGAGGAAGTGGGCGACGGCGACACTTTCGTCGTCCACGTCATGCAGAGCTGAAATCATGTGGCCGAGAGGGTTGTTGCCGTTCTACAATAAATCAAATACACAGAGGTTAGATCAAACATATACGAAGAGCTGAACATGGCAGCCATACCTCGTCCACTTCGTCGATTTCTTTCGTAGCCTCCTCATCCGCAGCTTTCTTCCACAACAACTCGACCATATTCGTGTTGCTGTAACATGCCGCGAAATGGAGCACCGTCCTACGATTCTGCGTTGTCAGACACCGCGTCATGCAAAGTTAATCTCGTAGTAAGTGTCTGCAGCATCGAGCCACCTACCTTAGTCACGTCGGTGATGCTGGCACCGCGGCCCAACAACAATCGGGCAATCGTCGTGCTCCGGTAGCAAGCTGCTACGTGAAGCGGAGTTCTACCATCCTACGAGAAAAAACCATTGAGTCACCACGAAGCCAAACGATACAAGATACCCCACAGTACATACTTCTTCTGTAGCAGTCACGTCGGCGCCTTTGTTCAGCAACAGCTCGACCATCTCCCACTTCCCACTGCTCACTGCCACATGCAGGGCGGTGCCACAACCCTGAAATTTTACACGAAATAGCCCACTCAGACATGAAAATCATTGTAATATATGTGCACCGTTGCTGCGAGCATACCTCCTCTGTAGCCTTGATATCCGCGCCCTTCTCCAACAGCATCTTGACCATTTCCACGTTTTCGCTTCGTACCGCCGTGTGGAGCGTCGTGCTGCCATACTGTTCCAAACACCACCACCACCAAACAACGTAAGATCCACATATACACACGTCACGCGAGCGATCTCGTGGACACGTACCTCCTCTTTGGCCATCAACTCGACCCCATTGTTTAGCAGCAACTCAACCATTCCCTTGTCGCCGTTCTGGATTGCAACGTGGAGTACCGTGCTCCCGTACTGCATTCAGCGCGAAGTCAGCCACCCGAGACTCGCCTACGTAACATTACTAAAAAGAAACGGAAGGTACCTCCTTCGCAGCCGCCTCGTTGGCCCCATGCTTCAGCAACACTGCAACAGCTGCCGTGTTCCCCTTGTCGACCGCTAACCGCAACGCTGTGGTTCCAACCTGAAGTACAAAATGACATGTCAATTTACTGTCTTCTACCGTTAGACAACGGGTGCGATATATGATGCGTACATCGTTCGGGACGTCGACGATGGTGGGAGTCTTCGTGAGTACAGCCTCAAGCTCGTTTGCGGCAGTTGTGTCGAGTTCCTGCCACTTCGCTTTCAACTCGCTCTCCTGATATTTTGTCAAGTTAGTTGGTGATTGTTCTCTTTTGG